TAACAGGTTAAAAATCCTGGATATGCCTTCAAAATGCAGACTTCTCTGCTTTAAATACACACTCCAACTAGGTATCAGAGGACCTTGTAATGAGAATTCCTGTAGCTGTCTTGAGCCCAAAGATAATTTCTGATTCTGCGTCTAGTTTCACAAAGATTTATAGTAGGCAATTATTGAGTTCTTTTCGCAGCTAAGTGTCCACCAGAAGACCAGTCATCGTGATACTCCATCAGAGCTAAACAGACAAGTTTCCCTAATTGTCTTCTCCTTCCAGGTTGACTTCCTCTGGAATATGCAGACCTCTACTCTCCTTCTAATGCATTGCCTGCCACCCCTGACTATGTATGGCTTAAATGAACAAGTATCTTATCAAGGTTCCAGTTCTAACACTAGTGATTTTCTATAGCAGAGTTCAAAATGGGGAGTTGCCACCGGATTTTGGTGTGTATCTCACCTTCCCAAATAGCTAGAATATCTCCTAGATCTATGGTGACCCAACATCTTGAGGAACATTCTCCTACCACCTTTAAAAGAGTTTGCAGTTGTCACTTCAAAAACCATGTGGAATAATTAAATGTGGGTTCTTCTAAGAATTAAAATAATAATAGCTTCCATTTGTTTGTGCTTTTAATGAGGAAGAACTTTCCTTAGTGTCTTACAGACTTCACAATAATTATTCACAACAAATCTTAATGAGGTAAGATTGTTTCTATTTCATAGGTCCAACAACTGAGGACACTGAGAGAGTAAGTAATTTGCCCATACAGCTGGTATTCTGGCTTGGATATGAGGTTTCCCCCCAAAACCTCACATGAGAGACAATGCAAGAAGGTTTAGAAGAGAAATGATTGTGTTGTGAGAGTCTTAACCCAATCAGCAAATTAATACTCTGATAGGAATTAACTGAATGGTAACTGAAGTGGTAGGATGTGGCTGGAGAAGGTGGGAATTCAGGGCATGGCTTTGGGTTATATATTTGTTTTTAGCAAGTGGAGGCCCCTCTCTCTGCTTCCTGATCACCATGATATAAGCTGCTTCCCTCCACCACACTCTCCTACCATGATGTTCAGCTCACCTGGAGGGATGCAGCTGGCCTTTTGTGGGCTAAGACCTCTGAAACTGTGAGCCCCTAAATAAACCTTTCCTCCCCTACAGGTGTTCTGGTTAGGTCCTTTTAGTCACAGCAGTGAAAAAGCTGACTAAGACAGCTGGTAAATGACAAAACCCAAGTTGGACATCAGGCAGGTCTGGCTAATTCCAAAACTGTACCCTGAATTTATATGCTGGTCTCCCATGCTTTGGCACTGTTAGGGAGAGAAACATTGTCATCTACAGTGCCCAGACACCTGGCAAATCCCTTTTATTGTATCCTGAGGAAGAAAACCACTGATTCTTAAAGTTTTTCCTTGCTCAAGTCAGCATTCGGTCATCCAAAGATTACGAATCATTGCCCCTGGCAATGAATGAATCCTTCTCTAAAGGACCTTGCAGGAGCCCCACATTCCTCTCTCCATCTAAAGACCAGAAGCACATACACAAATAAATTTCCCAGGACCTGTCTTGATATTTTAGAGTTTCTAAAAGTATCCTGTCAAAGCAAAGCCTGATAGAAAACATAGGTCCTTGTCTAGAAACTATTAAAATTAAAACGTGTGCGTGTGTGTGTGTATGTGAGTGTGTGTGTTAGGCAACATTTCTTCTAAAATCCCAAGTTCCTAAACAATTAAAACACATTTTTTACCTTCTTTTGCATCTCCCAAAATATTCAGGATGCTGTATACTTCCAGCACTTAATAAAAGTTCCTAAATATAAAGTACAATGAATGCATGCAATATTTGCTATGTAGATTTGGCCAATGTTTAAAACAAAAATAAAACCAGTAAAGCACATGTACAATTTAAATGCTTTTTTTTATCTCATTTATGTTTTATGTATTCCAGGGCCTGTGGTAATGCAAGGGCATATTTGGCATGGCTAAGGGAGATATTCAAAATAATTGAGAAAAGTGTTTTCAATGTCAATGTTTGTTTCCTGTATAGAATTCTTGCCTTTTGCCACCTTTTCACAAGAGGAATACAGACTACTAACAATAGCCAAATATAGAATCAACCCAGGTGCTCATCAATGGATCAGCAGACAAAAAGAATGTGATTTATATGCACAATGGAATATTATTCAATCATAAAGAAAAACGCTATTCTGTCAATTGTAGCAAAATGGATGGAACTGGAAGACATTACATTAAATGAAATAAGCCAGGTACAGAAAGACAAGTATTACCGATTCCCTCTCCTGTGTGAAAGTTTAAAAAAAAAAAGTCAACCTGAATATAGAACAGTGATAACTAGAGATTGGGGAAGGGAAGGAGAGAGAGGGTGGATAAAAGGAGTCTGGGTTTGATCAGTGCATACCGCAGACACATATTGATACGTTTCACTGAATGTCATTAATATGTACAATTAATGCACATTAATCAAAAGTAAAAAGAGGAATAGATAATGGTTATAACTTTGTCCTTCTGGACAGTGAGGCCTGGCTCCTTCCCAACAAAATTAATTATTGAATCAACGGCTGATGTGGTCTTCACTAACCTCTTTTCTGTAATGACATATATCTTCGCTCTCTATAAAACGTGCACTGAGGCTCTGGCAACCTTGAAGACACTTCTTTACACGGGTGTCATGGGTCCCCCCAGCACCCGCTCATCAGCACTCTCTGGCTCTGTTCCTGTATTGCTCTCCTCTCCTTTGTCTTTTCTTCCTCATCTACAGTAGCTTAATGAAGATATAGCCACATTCAGGGGGTCTGTGGTTCCTATTGCTAAAGACCATCAAAGACAGTGGTATGTTTTTCAAGGGAAAATTAAAGGGGACAAAATTTTCAGCTACCATTTCAGTTGTAAATAATCAGCATGTGTGACTCTTGAGAAAACTACATTTTAAGAATCAAATAATTGGATTTTACTGTGAACTATATTCCTCTTGCCTCACCCTACTTGGAAAAAAATGTCAAAATATATTTAGGTTTTATTATGATTCTTAAAATCCAACTTTCCAAGTGAATAGGGCATCTCTAGTCTTCATACCCATTTTATAAATTCATTTATCCATTCACTTATTAATTGGACAGGCCATGTTTAAATAGAGGTGCGTAGAAACAAGGGAGTTTAAAATGAAAAACCAGGGATTGAGGATTTTAGATTATCAATTCAACAGTTCATCCCATGTTTCCAAATCTCCCCTGACAGTTGCTTGTTTGATTCCAACCACTTAATTTCCAAATTCCCTTCACATGTCAGGCACCTAGGCACTTAGAGCCCAGAGGAGGTGTACATTGCCTGCTCAAAGATTTTGTGGTCTCTCTCAAACACCACTACCAGCACACAAAATGCAATCAAATCTTTTTCCTCTTCCTCTTCTTCTTTTTTTTTTAATCTAAAGCAAACTTAAATTGAAAACTACAGAAGTGTTTGGTAACAGAGTTTCCTCAAATCATCAGACATCCCTGGGAAGCACAACTCAACTGGGGAAATTATTCACTCACAGCCAACCTTTGATAACTTCCTTATTCCTTTCTTTCTCCCTTCTACTCCAAGGATCAAATTTCTCTTTCTGTATCAATAGTGATAACAATTCTGTGCCTCCTAGTTCTTAGAGTATTATTTTTTTAAAAAAAATTAGATTGGCAAATTTAAAATCATATATTTTAAATTGGTAGCAGGAATTAATTCTAGGATCTCTTCCCCAGAGAATTTAAACTCTCTCTTCCCTCCCCACTATGCTACTTCTGCACAGGTTTTTTTGTTTTGTTTTGTTTTGTTTTGTTTTGTTTTGTTTTCCAGTGGTGATGCTGGCCCAGGGCCTTGTACATGTGAGGTAAGCACTCTACCATCTGAGCTATATCCCCAGCCCAGGTTTTCTTTTAAGGCCACATTTCAGTTTAACAGTTAAAAAACGAAAGTGTACTTTCTATCTTCATTATACAGAACTATAATACCAATGTTAAATTTTACATTGTAGACAAATCTACACTAACCTGAATGTTATTATCTCCCTCTTTTTCCCTCTAATCTCTTCATGATTCCCTTCCACAATTATCTCCCTCAGATAATTGGAATAAAAAAAGGAATAAAAAATAAAAATTAAAAAGCCTCTTTTTCTTCCTTCAAGTCTATTGACACCGGCAATTATTTCTTTTAATTTTTCTTTTTCTGCCTGACTCCTTAACTCTATAATCTCCATATCATTGTGTGTGGCCTCAGATTATTTTCAGCTACCTATTTTGAATAGCTTCACCTATGTTGCAAATACCTTGTGTTCAACCCATCCAAAATATTATTAATTCTCTCTCCCCTCTCTTGAACCTTTCTCCTCTGCCAACACCATTTTCCACATTATTTCCTGAGCAGATGCCCCCAAGCCATCCTTGACTCTTCTAACTCTGTGTCATCAATTGCCAAGAACTACATTTTACAATATTTTACAGCTATATTTTCAACTCCATTTCCATTGTCATTCCTTAATTCAGGTCTTCATATACTGTCATTTCTTTAAAGAGCTGTCTAACTGGTCAGATAACCCCTGATCTTGATCTTTCATTTGTCCCAGAGGATCACCCTCCTTAACACCACCAGACTGGTCCTTCTTATCATAGCTGGCCCTACTTCTGAACTGTTACACCTACCTGAAAGTTAACAACAGCAATCATCAATATGCAGGGGGTGTTCTTGCTGTCACAAGCATGGTGCTAAGTGCCTTTTATCTCACCTAAGACTCACAATAACCCTGTGATACTTCACATCCTTATTTTACAAGCTTGCCAAAGGGCACACTAGGGTGCAAACCCGGGCAGCCTGACTCTGTACTTTACAGCTGTGCCCCACTCCACACCCCTTCATGCCTCTATAATTTACACATCTGCCTTAAAGTCCCTTGCCTCTGTCTTCTAATAACAATTTTGTTTCTTTTCTCAAACTTTGATAAACAATCCCAAGCCCCACTCAGAGTTAACTTTTTGCTTTATTCACAGAGCATGTTTTGTAGCATCTATTTGACACTTATCTTAAACCAATGACAACATCAATCTCTTCTTCATCCCCTACCCCAACTCTCAAGATAACTCAAAATGAACTAAAGATGGTACCATACATAGAGGGCTGAGCCTTGGAGGTGTGTCCGATTCTCTCTGAACCTTCAAATGGAAGGATGGAGAGATCATCAATGGCACAAGTGGTCGCTTTCCTCCCCTTTTCTATTTTTTAACTAGAAGTTACCAGAAGGTAGAATGAGAATCCATGAGCAAGACTTGGTTCATAGCAGAAGGTGGAGGTAGATGGAATGAAGGAAGTGTGGAGGATACCTGCCAGCTATTCTTTAATAGCAATGCAGATGGTCATGCTCCTCAGATCAGGAGAGATGATCAGATTGACATTGATTTTACTAATACTATTTGAACCTAGTATTTACAAGCCTGCCACTTTCATTAGCTGTTAAGGGACAAAGGTCTGCCCTTCAAATCTTTACATCTCATTCAAAATTGTATCTCTTTATGGATTTCAAAAGGTATTCAATGAAGAAAAAATGAACAAAGAAAGAACAAAGATCACAAAGAACAAACAAGAAATACAATTACACATAACTATTTTCACTAAATTCATTTCTTAAACAACTAAAGCTAGTAGTACCATGCTAGATCCACTATATCAGTAACTAGACCCTAATAATAAAAACCCACCTGTGTAAAATTAACATCAGTGGGAATTATTTTTGTCTTCAAATTTAGAGAGAAAGAGAGTTTTCCATTTAGTGATTTCAGACAAAACTCATTTCCCTATAGGACTTCTTTGCAGAATCGTTGCTATTGGAGTATGACCCTCTGTCAGCATGAATAGAGGGGAGCTATGAGAACCAGAAGCATCTACCAGTCAAAGAGCCATGGCCCAACACACAATCCTGATGTTTACCCACCAAAAAGAACCCCAGAAACTGCATTCCTGACTCTACGTCAAGAAATGATAATAATGATGATGCAGTAAAATTAAATAACACCCTAAAAATAAAATATTCAACATTTTTCTTAATATCTCAGAATTATTACTGTTTGGCATGACAATAGGTTTTAAAGCACAATTAAAAAGAAAGTTCCAGGGATGCTCACTCATACTATTCCTTCAAGTAGTATCCTCTAATCTAGTTTCCATTTGGCCACTAGAATTTTCCAGCAAACCCTGGCTAAAGGAAAAACAGAAAAAAAAGTGTACAAAATATAAAAATATAATATAAAGAGAAAACTGTGGCTACAATCAGATGTTAACAGCAGTGAAGAGGTGAATAACTGAATAAATGTGTCCATGAGTGATGCTGTGTCCATCTTCATACCTCTTGATGGATTTCCAGCACAGCAGAAGACTTCCTGACTGTGGTTACGGTGTGCAGCCTAGACATGGGAGAAATTCAAATTAATAGACATAGATATTTACACTAATGTATCCATATATATGCATATTATATATGCATATTATATATATACACACACACTCATGTCCCCTTGACTACTTTGAATACTATGTGCACAAGACTTGAATTAGAATGAAAAATGATATTTCAATTTAGAATATTCAAAATCAAGGAATCTCTTGGGCAGAGCTTTCCAAAATCAAGATGCTTTTTTAACAGCATGTCTGGATTTCTCTAGAACAAAATCCATTGCACATCTGCCTACCATTCCTCTGAGCCTTGGGACTGACCTATTAAAGGAGCATTCTTTGGAAACAGAGCACTGCAAACTAAAGTGGTCAAGGGAGATTAAATTATAATAACTATGCCAGCGTTCAGGACTTTGTTCTCCCTTGTTCTTTATCTTTGCTAAAATATTAGGAAAGTAAAATACGTCTATCCTTCACTGTCCTGCCCCAGTGTGTCTTATGGATCTTCCTTTTCCATCTAAGACTGGTCCAGGATCTAATGACTGTTTCCTCTGTCACTGGCCATAAGGGGCCTTATTAGTCTTTGTAGAGATGGAGTCAAAGACCTATGACCACAGACAATTTTTCCTTTCTCAGCGTCTGCTTCACCAACATTCAACAATGACTGTGCATGAGATATGTGGGAGAATCAACCAAACAACTGAAGCTCAGGCCCAATCAGACAATGAAAAGCTGAATCTGCAGGTAGGGTCCAGGCCATAGCAGCTTTTCAAAATTCCCCAGGTGTTTTGATCACAGAGCTGTAGTGAAAATGCACTCTTTGCCTGAGACTACCTCTAAATACCTCAGTATGGGAATAATAATATTCAAAAAGGGGTCTTGCGACGTATTATCCTTTTGGTTCATCAACTTCTACTAAAATCTCAGGGAATTCGATTTGAGAGTGGGAGTGCATAAGGATGGGATAAGTTTAATTTGTGATGAACTGTTAAAATCCCTCAAAATTTATTTCCACCATCTCATATTCTCTACGTTAGCTTTTTCATTTGAATTCAAAATTATTTATTTCCCAAGAAGATTTCTCTTTATCAACAAATGTGTTTCAGAGCTCAGAAATAGAACAAGGATGTCAGTCCAGTTCAAATCTACTTAATTGCACTAGCAGTAAGTTATCCACTCTGGATCGGCTTCATGTTCCTTCATCTCATGCTATGGGTCTCCATAGTACTCACCTGCTTAACTTCTTAATAACTACAAAGATAAATAAGATTTTGTTTTATTCACTATAAAGATAAAAATAAATCTTCTGCCCTTCTGCTTCTCTCTGAAGCAGTCCCCCATTCATCCCAACTCTCCTAAAATCTGCCACTCGGCACATCTTCCACACTGCCTCCCTGAAGAGGCTTTGGCTTCTAGAAGCCATGGTCTCCTGGTTGCTTCAGCACCACTGCATGCTACTCCAGGGGAAGCTGAAATTCCAGAGCAAGGAATGAACCCTTGCCTTCCTCAGCAGAGCAATTGCTATATTTTGTATAAATGGCTAATGAGAACAACTGAAACGTGCTTAACCTTGATCTTACTCGAATCTCAGTTTCTTCATCTGACAAGGATAAAGAATAACTTGGGCTCTGATGAACATAAAGTAAAAGAATCTGGCACTGAGCAAAAACATCATCTCCCTTCTTCCGTTCCTGTGCCTGCCCAATGCCTATGCTCTTAGCTAGTGGTTGTGATGTACCAAACAAAAGAATCATCTGTTGTGTGAAATTTCGGATCAATACCAGGTAGGACAGTACTCTCGGAATAGAATGGCTTTGGTTCCGTGTAAGTAAGTTAAGAGTCATTGACACATAGTGATTGCTCCAGTTGACACAGTGAAGCATCTTGGTTGTTCCAGAATCAAAAGGAGAATCACTTTTCTCACTATCTACCCACACAATCCCACCCCTACATATTGTTTTAGGAATTTTTATGGACAGAAAATAAAATTCTTCTTATCCTACTCCTGGACATTACACTCCAACCTTGAGGTGATAGCATATCCTAGTGGCTTGAACCCCTTTAGAATTTTTTTAAAGATTTTTTATTAAGATGGACACAATATCTTTATTTATTTTATTTATTTTTATGTGGTGCTGAGAATCGAACCCATTGCCTCACATGTGCGAGGCAAGCGCTCCACCCCTGAGCTATAACCCCAACGCCACCCCCATAGGATTTTGAAACAAAGAGTGCATGATTCATTTCTAGCTTCTGAGATTTTACCTGAAGTCTTCCAAAGACTTCTTCTTCGTTGCTTTCAAACCACCAGTCTGGCAACAAGCAAATTTGTAATCAATGACCTGGTAGATGATCGGATTGTACATCGCTGCAGATTTTGCAAGGAGGGTTGGCACTACAGAGAGCTGGATGGGAATGGAGTCTGGCCTTCCAAACGCTGACCACACAGAGACCACTGCATAAGGGATCCAGGCAATCAGGAAACCAGCACAAATCAACATCGCCACCTGACGAGAGAAAGCGATGAAGAAGAGAATGGAGAAACTTCGTAAGTAATGAGGACCTAAAATGAAAGGTGTGGAGGAGGAGCAAGTCACCTCTTCACACCCCGGAAAACGTATCTATTGCAATGCATTTATCTTGTTCCTAGGAATTATTTCATATGGACTTCTCAAAAGTTCAGCTAGAAGAAGCTTTATCCACTTATCACTTCCTGTCCATTCTCTACTCTAGAATTTTAATGTACCCACAGACCAAAAGTATAACCCTTTAATAACTGTCAGGTTTTCCCTGCATTTTGGGTAAGAAATCATAATAAAAAAGACATCTGTTCTCCTGAGCTTTCCAGACTTTTCAACCCACATTCACTTAAAAACTTGACAGAAAATACATTCACCTTGATGAAATTTTAAATCATCCACATTTGCCTCAGGAAACTGAAAACTCTGCCCAGGTTTGAAATTCTAATATGCATCTTCTTCAGAGGCTTCTATTAAATGTCATTTCTTTTGGCTCAGGTGTTGCTCAAGTTTGAGGCTCAGATTGTGGAAATTCACTAAGTATAAAGTAAAACACAGTCATCACACCTCAGCTGAAGTGAGACTGTTGTACAAAATGAGACTTTTCCAGAAAGCACCTTTCTCTCACCCAAAATTATAATTATCCAAAGGTCTCTTAACTTTCAGACCAAAGAATATTAGAGATACAGTTTCTCACCACCTGCAGTTCAGTTCCCTTAATAATATAGACCTACTCAAGACCCTACAATGACCTGCCTGATTGCTATAAGACAGCTCACTCAGTTCAACAGAACTTTATAGCAAATACTTCGACAAAACACTATGCCAAGTGCTATAAGGAATACCAGTGTGGCTTCATGCCTGTGTTGTCTCTCTCTAGAATACAGATAAATACAGTACAAAGCTGAATATGATTTAAGCTCCAGTTCAGAAGAGAAAAAAATTGCATCCTACTCGGCAAATTATGAAGAGTTTCACAAAGGATGTGACATATAACCTGCACTTTGGCAAGTGGAAATAAAAGAATAAGATTGAGACCAGCATGAGCAAAATCTTGGGGAAAAAAATAAACATGAATGAAGTTTTCACAGAAATTGTGAATGAGCTGTAGATGTGGTGATGCATGCCTGTAATCCCAGCAACCTGAGAGGCTGAGGCAAGAGGATTAAGTTTGAGGCCAGCCTCAGCAATTTAGTGAGGGCCTGTCTCAAAATAAAAAATAAAAAGGGCTGGGGTAGCTCAGTGGTAAAGCACTCTTAGGTTCAATTCTTGGTACTAAAAAGAAAGAAAAAAAATATTAGTGAGCAATTCACTTTGATATGGAAAAGCAGCAAAGGGAGATGAGGCTAGGAAGAAAGATATGTACTCAGGGTTTTATATGTTACTGAACTTGCACTGAATACTTTGTGCTTTGAGGCAGTAATAGGTTTTGAGCAGGAAATATGAGAGCTCTGCTTGATATTAATCTATAGGATGAAATGTTGCATAGAGAAATAGAAGCCTAAATATCATTGTTTATTCATTTAATCAACAAGTATTATTACATGTTTTGTGTAAGGTCTATTGCAATGAACAAAGCAGATACATCCTGCCCTCATAGAATCTCCATTCTTAGTGAGTTGTTGACAACTGTATGAACAAGAAATAAAAGGCGATTCAGTTAGAGTAAATTTACTAACACTGGAAAATACAGTCCAAATTTTGTTTGTTTTGTTTTGTTCTGTTTTTGAAACAGGGTCTCCCTAAGTTGCTCAGACTAACCTTGAACTTTGAATTCTCCTGCTTTGGCCTCCCAAGGAGCTAGGATTATAGGAACACACCATCATTCCCAGCTTTGGGCTTTATTTTAAAGTTGAACTATTTCAGAGAGAGAGTGCACTAATTGATAGAGTGCATTACCTTCAAAATATTCCTATACTGTGATATACTAGAATATTCTTTCTGTAAGATAAATAATAAAACTGTATTTGAAATCAGTCCTCTAATAGACATCTGTCTTTTGTCACTTCGTTTGAACTTATTTTCATCATCCCAGTTATCCTCTGCTTTAGCATTCCCAGCATTACTCCCTCTCCTAGGAGTTTTATGGAATTGCCGTCAAAGGCATCAGATGACTCTGACCAATCAGAGGACTACGTGCCCTTGGCTACAACGCTATGAACAGGGAGCTTGATCATCTTGGGGGTTTTAGAAATGAATGTCCCTTTTATCTCTGAGTTCCCTAGAAGCTTGGGATTATGTAAGAATGGACCTATCTGAGGCTGCTTCACTTCCCTCCTCCTTCTCTCTTCCCTTAATTTAAGGGGGAAAAAGTTATGTAAAAGATCAATGATAAGACGTGAAACACAAAGTGCTTAGTCGGTAATAAGTAAATTCACAGTATTTATGAATCCTGTTTTAGAAGGTTGATCAGAAATGTTTTACTTACAACAAAGTCATGCGTACACATGCCTGTTTCATCATACTTTAGTGGGAGCTAAAAGCTATTGAACATAGAAAATGGTCCAAGCCTCAGTCTATGACCTGCAGACTAGCCTGTCTATTCACACCTCACACAGCTTGGTGGAGTATATAAGAATGAAGCATGGCAAATCTGCTCTAAAGTCACAGACTCAGACTCCAAAATCTCAAAGCTCATTTCCAGAAATAAACTGCAGGGGGAAAAAAAAACTTAATACTATCTGTTTTGCTCCACTTTGCAAATAGAGAATCTGAATCTCCAGGAGATAAATCAAGTGAGCCCAGCATACCTGTGTGTCCTGCAGCCTTGTTCAGTGCCCTGAGCCAAAGTTCTCACCTGTGTTTAGCAGTTGTAAACTCTTCAGACCTAATGCACACATATGGCTCCCTCTTCTGTTGAGTTTACTTTTCTATCAGTTAGGAGACGCTTACCCAAGAGAAATTTTCATTTGGTTTGGTTTGTCTGACTTTTGTTTGCAAATGGAACGGATGCCTCAAGGCTCCCAGCAAGGCTCCCAGCAAGGGCCTTCTTTTTCCAAATCTCCAAATAAACACTAACTATATAAATAAAGCTTGCCTTAGCATCTGTCTAGGGACTTAACACAGCCCCGTCCTTGCTTCTTTGGTGAGTCATATGATGTTTCACAGTGTCTCAAAAGCTGATTTCTATGTTGCTGCCAAGTCATTGACAAAAAATAGATTGGTAGTTAGTCCAGAATATCTTCTACATTTTACATGATTTCTACTTTTTTGAATAGTATGCAGTGGAGGAAAAATTTCAAACATTTATATTGTATTATCTCTTTTAAATGGACATAGGTGAATTACACATACACATAAATAAAGAGCACATAGAAAATGAATCATTGTGGGTTTTCTGGGTTTAGAATAAAGAAGAATGGCTAGAAATTAAGTTTAAAGATGAAAAGGGGACAAAAGGCTAAATCTAAAAAGACAATGAAGAATGTTATTTATGTTTCTGAAGCTTCAAAGTTAATATGAGAGCCATTCACTTTCTATAACCTTCTCATTTTAAAATACACTCCACAATTATTAGGCATTTTAATATTAAAACCATTCTATGATATACTCCACAAAAGTTTCTAAAACTTTCCTGTTGTACTCCATTATTCCAGATTTTTCTACTTGGCTGTAAATGGTTTTAATCTTTCCAACAGTTTGTTCCTCACTTTCCTCCATTCTAGGTACATCTTCATTTATATTTTCTAAAACTGACTGCCCAAATATCTTTAAGCCAGTTCACAAACAAAAATATCTGTGCCTGTCAACTTTTCTAAGTTGTTTACTTTGTTTAATTACTTCACTTTCATCTCTGCCTTTTGGTTCACTGGCAAAGCAGTAGAACTTCAAATTCCTAAATTAGACAATTCCTGTGGGAGGAAAGTCACAGGATTCGTGTTTAGCTTATACAAAAGAATCGCACATCTGCAGCCCAGTTCATTTTAAATACATCTTGCTGCACAGGACTAAGACAGTGTTTTCCAGCTCTAGTTCAGACTGGCATTAAGTGTCACAATAGCAAAGTTGCACATAATCACTCAATTCCAGTGAATTGACCAATTAAAGCAATCATTGAATCATGTGGTTGAAAGTAAATTCTTCAAGTTACATATGGCTCTGCCTCTGAGTCCAATACATTCAAACCTTTCTAGCACAAAGGTTTCTTAGGTCCTATCTTCCTTCAGTGGGTAAGGCAGTGTGGAAGGGTGGAAAAGTCACTGGCTGAGATACTTTGGGTCTCTCCACTAATCATCGTAAGTGGGACAAAATCCCTGAGGCTCTTTGAACATCCATTTCAGAAGGAGAGCCCAGTCCTCCCGCCAGGATATTTCACACAGTTATGAATAAGACTTAAGCTAAGGTTAAAAGCTGTAAGTTACCTTAAATAATGAAATAGAAGAGGACATGGAAATGATGTGAAAATAAAGGCTTGAAAGGAGAGCCAAAGTGATGTAATAAATTCCCCATTGATAACAAGATTGAATAACATTACAGAACCAGTTAGACTAGTGATAACAAGGGCATTTCAGTGACTGGGGGAAAATGAAGTCACCAGAAAAGAAATCACTACATCTGTGCACTGAAGAGAAGGGGAAAGAGGTGGAGGTGACTGCTTTTAGGAAAGCATGTGATTGACAGGAGCGTAGGGATGGAAAGATTTGGATTTTCTATCTTGGGTCCAGCTAGCAAGTACATGGATTTGCTCCTGAGCAGTGAGAAAATGATACTCAAAGGTAGTAATAGGGTAATAAATTCCAGTTCTGAGACTGTTGCCTTCCACTTGTGGGACTGCCTGTCACTGAGTGATTCTATCAATAACGAGTGGAAGGAGGGGAACTTGACAACTATCATATGCTTTCTTGGGCTCTCAATGTCCTCATGTATATAAAAATCATGGTGGTGATACTTGACTTTCACATTACCTTTTAAGAAATTAAAAATGCAACAATCTTAGCATGTTTTCTTTGACTTTTTTCCCCCTTCCTTCTATTTAATCCACAGAACAACAATGAAGGCCAACTGTCCCAGACCCACCTCCACAAACTGATAAAGAAAAATTTTCTGAGATCTTTGATGCACTGCCATATGTTAACCCTGGTTGCAATCCAAGCAGAAAATATGAATTCATCCTTCAAAAAAAAAAAAAAAAAGAACTCCACACTTTCCAGATGCAATTTTCTCAAATCTTAAAATAACACAACTCTCTAAAAACAAGCAAACGCTGCAATTGAAAAGAGAGGAGGCAAACCAGGTCACGTCTCTCATTGTGCCTGTGTTGGGAGTTCTGGTTCAAACTGAACACAATATACCATGACCAGGCAGTGGTTGGCTTAAAAAAAGAAAGAAAGAAAGGAAGGAAGAAAAGAAAAAAAAAAGAGAAAGTAATTTACAAATGTCTGGTTCAACAAAACAGGGATCCTTCCCTGTTCATTATGGATGATCCAAGACCTTGAAGTGGGACTATATTTCTTGGGAGGAATAGATTTTCAGGTTGAGAAAACACCTGGTTTTAGCAATAAAAACCATCACCCATACCTTTAAATAATGGAACCAATGCATCTATTTTCACAAAACCTCAGAGTTTTGAAGTAATCAAGCTATCATTTAAATTCTCTCCCCCATCCCCTTTCATATATGAGAAAACTAAAACCCAGAAAGATTTACTAGTTTTCCCAAGGTGAATCTGTCAATATTCTGAGTTGCAAGTAACAGAAATTTATTTTGGCTGAGTGAGGCCGAAAGGGGATTTCTTTAAAGGATATTGGTTAATGCAGAGAGCATCACTGGAAAGGTTAATGGATATCCAGCAAACAGAAATGATAATTAAAACCTTATGTGTGAACTGGTTTTGACACAGATACTACTGCTTCTGTATCTCTGAGCTCAGGAGAGTGCTCCCTACACTTGATTCTCTGTCACCAGGCTCCAGACAGGCTGATCTCTGGTGCCAAAGTCCTTAGCTGTGCTCCAATCAAAGGGGCAGCCTATGAAGCAAATGATTGACTTTTTCAACATTACTTAACTCCTCCCCTTACTTATTACATAGCTCCTCCCCTTATCCTCAGCAAGACACAAAAGGTTGGCAATTCCTTAGACACAGAAGGGGTTCAACTACTGGGAACCAAAATAAATAACAAATGTCAATTATATAAGACCTTTCAGGCAGCTAGTGGTCAAGCTGGAATTGACTGCTAGTTTGAGATTCTTTTCATTATTAAGTGACTCTGATCTAATCACCCTTTAACAAATGTATAGTAAACACTTGCCATGTTTGAGACATTGTGTCCTCAGAACACAAAGTGATCAAAAAGACATGGTTTCTCCTGCAGGCCTTATTGACTAGTGGTAAAGATGAACATTGAACATATAAGCACAAAAATAATTATGTGATTTTAAATTAGTTTGAAAATTGACATGTTCCAAGAAGGAAATAGAGAGGTCATAATGAAACATCATAGTAGGAAGTCTTGAATTCAATTTTGGAAATGTGTCTCTGGGAAATGATATTTAAGAACAACAAAGAAGAACAAAGGAAAGCAATTAATTAATTGGTTTTAAAAAAAAGAGCAATACAGTTCAGCTTTCCCACAAACTGCCCTGAGAATCCACACCAGGGAGTTCCCTGAACCTGAACCCTGGTTGATAGATAAAATTCGATGAGCAATAAAGGAGAGGAGGCTTAATAGTTTAAGAGCTTTAAAAAGGCTTCAAAATCAATGGGAAAGAACACAGAAAAAAAAACAAAATGTCCCATAAGGTATAAAAGGAACAGAGGCACTCCAGCCAGGGGTCAAGGGACCTCTTAGCAGTCATCAGGGTGATTAAATTAACTTGGTTTATTCACTTAGGTATTCATTCAAGCAATCTGGATTAAATGTCTAGCAGGTGGCAGGCTGTAAGGTACAGAAGCAAATAAAATATGCAGCACCTGCCTTCACCCCACATCCTGTCTTGTGCAAAAGAGTGACAGATGCATGATTTGGTTTGACAAGTGTGGCTAAAAGAAGGGCTCTTATGGCCCATAGTAGGGGGGGGGGGGAGTTTCTGGTTGAAATAAGAGATACCAAGAGAAGACCAGGTACCCACAAATTCTGTATACAAATGATCTGATGTCATAGGTGACCAACATATGAATTAACATGAAGTAGAAACATACATGGCATAGTGATATTGGGGAAAATCGATCTATACTTCTCGTATTGCCTTCCTGTCACTCCACCATTCCCCTCATTAAATCAGCAGCAAGAGTGTTCACTGCATTGTGTGAATATTTTTACAAGCAGAAATAACCAAAGAAATAAGACATTCATTTCTCAACTTCTCAGTTTCAGAATAGAAATTTGAAACTTATGGAGAGAAAATAGTTGAGAATAAAGGGTTTTGAGCATGGGGGGATGGGGGGAATGACTTTTGTGAAACCAAAATTCTAAAGGACTCCAGGCATAACTCATGAACAATTTAGAGGATGTGCCTGTAAGAGCCAGTTTTCCACTCTGACAGAAAAAGAGCCTATAGCTCAGAGGCAAAGGAGAATATCAGAGAAGCTGGTAACTGACCTTGACATGGTGTCCTGAACCCACATTTCTGAGTTAAGTGCCAAGTTAATAAGTGACAACAACCAGATCAGGAGCTCCAAAACATTGGCACCATGGCATTTTTAAAAATCTCCCTGGAGCTCATAGATTGCTGTGGGAAGAGCAGGGAGATCCCTCTGTGTGAGTATGTGTGTGTGTGTGTGTGCACTCACATGTGTAAAATACTTCTGTTTATAGTCTGTGAAATTTCAGACTGTTACAAATTTAGTGAAATTAGCATTCTTTAAGCATTAATTAGAAGCAAGCTACAAAGTAGAGAAAGGTTTCTAGATGAATGCCAATTTTTAGCTTGACAAGATCAGACCAGCAGAAAACAGTCCCAGATAATAACTCAGCTAGAAATAATTAGAGTACACAGAGAACTAAATGATTTTGATCCCTGAATCCAGAAAGATAGCCTTTAAGTAATAAGCTTTTAGACCAAGCTGTTCTGAAGATCAGAAGCACCAAGTGAACAAGCAAATTGTTAATCCTGAGCAGTAGTTGAATGGAGGAAAGACTTCAGAGACTATGAAAAGACCCAGCATGAAGTTGTTTCTTCTTATATTACCTACTAGGAGAAATTGAGGTCAAAATTGAGTAGTAATTGAAAATGGTGTGAATTTAGGACAAATGTCACAACAGAAAGTTTTATTTTTCAATATGGCCAAATTTTGATGTAAATTTTTCCAAAAATATTAATTAGAAACATTTTATATTTAGGATATTAAAATATTTTATATACCAACAAAGCACAGACATGTTATATATACTATTATGTAGTATGTGTTAGAAGAATAAACTATATATAGAAAAAAATCATTTACAAATATACATGTGTGAATATATATGTCTACACTTTTCATTTGACATCCATTTAGTTTATCTGGTCTAGGGTAAGCCGAATCATTTGATCAACACAGTTCAAGTCAAGTAGAATGTCAACAAGAAATCAAATTAAATCATATTTACCAGTCAATATCTCATATATGTAGTGAGCTTTAGAAGTATTGGCTGGACAAGCTATCCACCCCTTAAGAATACAAATACACAATGGTTTAGATAAGCAATGATAACATTCAGAAGCACATAAGCAGTGGGAATTCTAGGTTTTCCCAGTCCCAACATTCCCAATCCTCTGGGTCCTTTGAAGTTTTAATTGATCAGAAAACACCTCTTTAAATTGTGTCTGCAATTACCTTGGTGAGCTTCATTTCCAGAACGTGGCTGCTGTGGATCCGACTGTCAAAATGAGCCACCTCCTTGGAAGAGGACTTAACCTTGGCAATGATCTTCACATAGGAGAACACGATCACAGCGGTAGGGAGCAACAGGCAGAAGAAGAGGATGTTCAGGATGAAAACCTGGCCCCCAACTGAGGCCTGCGCCAGCCACCAGTCCAGGGTGCACGAGGTTCCGAAGGGCTCAGGTGCGTAGTCCCCCAGGCCCACCAGGGGCATGGTGGTCCAGAAGGAAGCATAGGCCCAGATGACTGCCAGGCAGATGAAGGCGTGCTTTCTCTTCAGCCAAACCCCTGGAGGCGGAAGAAGAGCATTACCCACGTGGAATCTGCCCTGCACCCAGATACCTCCCCTTGATATGTCAAATTCCACCTCCAAAGATTTATTCCATTGAATTCTGGGAGACGTGGGCAGATAACTGAAGCCTGAGGGAGAGTGGAGTGAAGCAGGGAAAGTTCCAGAGCTTGGGCCTTTCTCCAGGAGAGTGACACTTTGAAGAGAATTCACAGGGAAGACTTTCTCTAGGCACCTGGGAGCTTTGGGAGGGAGAAGTGGCAAAGGCTTGGAAATGGAGTGAGTAAAAAGACCAGAGGATACTGACAATGGAGGACCTTGTGAGAACAGTTCTCATCTCCACGGCCGTGTTAGTGGGTCATCCAAGGATCCAAGGGAGAATCCTTCAGGGGAGGTGTGCAATCACAAAGCATCGCTTGTGTCCTTAAAATACCTTTCCTCTTGAAAGCTTTTGTGTCTCTAATCTCCTTTGCCTTCCTAAGAACTCCTTGAGTGGGGATTGGTGCATCATGCTTATGACACTGCGGTGTGAAGCTAAAGTGGGTGACTATGCATATTAATTTGTGGATCAGATTTGTACCCCCTGGACTGAATCTTCAAACTCTTCCCACAATAGTCGTATTCACACAGCCACTGTGGGAGAGGTAGAGAATCTAAGCAGGTTGCATTGTGTTTTGCAAAAGTAATTATGTGAAAATATTTTCATAAGAATAAAAAAAAAAAGCTGTTTTTCGGTACTGGCTTCTTAACTAAAAGAAAATGGCAAGAGGAAGAAATAGTACAGTCATCTAAAAAAGGCTGTAAAACACTAATGCACTAATGATCATTTCCTGAAGTTCAACACAACCAGCAAAGACAAGCCAGCCTGACTTCATGCTGCAGCCGCCACGGAAAATGACCTTCATATCCCACTCATCACCTTGGAGGAAGAGGGCCTGGGAAGTGGCTCCTTACTGCTTTGGTTTTGTAGTAGTGGAGAAGAAATATCAAAGTGTATTCAATAAAAGCTAAATTCTTTCTTTAATATAAACTCGGGATCTGCCTCTGCTTAGGGTAGTGTGGCAATGACAACTTTGTTTCTAGTGTTTGAATGCTCATGTAACCTTTCCAGATATCCAGTGTTCCTGACAGTAAAATAAAGGAAATAAGACTACATTGTTTACATGTTTCAATAAAGGTTAAATAAAATAATGTAAGGAGCTTGCTTTGCAAACTATGAACCACTACATTAGCACAAAATTTTACTCCTCTGTAAATGTGTCTTGTTTAGCACTAATAAGAAATATAACAATGTTTCTGTGCTCTATTGTCTCCTTTTTTTTTTTCAAATGCATGGCATTTTTGTATCATGAAGTACAAATTTCTCAAGCCCAACCAGATAAGGGTAGCAATCATGTAGCCACAAAATATGTCAGCGCTTGATTATCCGTTATAACAGATAAAAACATTGGCAGGGAGAACCACATATATTCATGGGAATGTGCAGAGGCATACGGATAAGCATTCATGATTAGGGTTACTTAAGTGAGGTGTTTCATACTTACATTCGAGTATGGTGAAAGGCTGTCAAGTACAGGAGGGAGTAGATTAGTAGATTGGTTCTGTGTTGCTCCAGAAGTCAGAACTAGGACCAATGGGTGGAGGTTACTGGGAGGCAGTTTTGTCTCAATATAAGGAATAACATTGTAACAATGAGAGCAGACCAATCAGAGAATGGGCTGCCTTGTGCAGTAGTAAGCTCCCCGTCACTGGTCACTGGAATTATTCAAGAAGAGGCCAAGTGGTCATCTCTCAGGGATGCCTTAAAGCAGTCTACCACATTTCATGGGAGAAAGGTCTACATGTCCCCAAGCGACCTTCTAATTCCAACATTCTAGGACACTGTGTGGAGGGTTTAATAGTGCATCAGATTAAATGATGAAACCATATGACTGAGGTTAAACCTTAAAGAAGCTGGAAAATAGACACAGTTCCCATACTGCCGTGATCCTGGTGGTGGGCAGCAGCATCCCTTTAGTAGACAAAAAGCTTAAACTCAAGAAAATACTTAAAAACAGAGACATCAAGGTTTAATATTCCTCAAGTACTCCCAGGAAGTTCAAGTTTCTGCCTCCTTGTCTATAAAGTTTATAGTTAAACTTAATATCTGCTTGGCATAACAAAAAAAATAATAATAAGCTTGTGGAAAGAATTAGACTCTGATGTCATCCAGAATATGTATAATAGTATTTTTTATCTTATCATAAATTTTGATTCAAGCTGATTCTGTTGGATGTTGTAAATGTTCAGAAAAGGAGACGCAATTTAAAAAAAAGAAGAAGAAGAAGTAAGTACTTTATCATGGAGATGGTGGTTCACACCCCCTGCTCCCATGCATGGTCTCTCTGGTGTCTAGGGGCTGTAAATTGCTAAAATGCGAAGGGAAATTCTGCCCTAATGAGATTTCCAGGTCTACTTGATCTTCTCCACCTCAGTCTCCTGACCATACTCTGTCCCCATGTCACAACCACTCTAACAGGTTGACAACAAAATAGCTTCACAGAGAGCAACAGAATTACTCCTTAGTTACACCTGGTTCTCAGTATTAACATAAATGCCCCAAAGCTTCTTTTTCAGGTTCAATAAATTCCCAGAACCACAAGAAGCAAAAATGCTACAAATTATTTTTAAACAGTAAATGGTCTTTAATCTTTAAGGCAGGGGAACCCTTAGGCTCTGTAAACTTATTCACTGCTGTCTCTCCACTCACTAATTCTCTTAAGCTGTCATTTTTCTAGCTACCAATACCTCCCCCCAATTAAAAAAAATGTTAAGTGGTATATCTGTATTTCTGTATGTGTGTCCTTTCATACAGCAATAGCAGTATGTCTCTCTAGACCTGAAGGTGAATTTTGGAATTCCTTATCTCCAAAATCACAGGGAGACTGGAACCTAAAGCAAAAACAGGAACAGCTCTTCTTATCATTACAGTTCCTATGTAGGGAATCAGCTAACCTTGCAGACCTCAGGCATTTTTGTTTGTTTATTTGCACAACAAAATATGGTAGAAGCTTACAGACTATACAAGAAAGTGATCATTTTTAAAAGCATTGCAACCAAACACCAGACATTATTATAAAGTAGTATTAAAAGAAACCCATAAAAAAAAATAAAAAATAAAAGAAACCCATGTTGGCACAGGTCAAATCTTTAAACGTGTTAGAATGAGATAGGCTATAAATAGAAATACTCTTGGTCTCTGAGGTTATTAGTAATCTTTATTTATTAACTGTATAAAATATGTACAGCTATGACATTCAATGCAGCTAACTTTGACTCGAAGGGAAGGAGAAACCTTCCAACTTACCATAAGATAAGTAGCAGATTTTCAGGTAACGATCCAGGCTAACAGCTGTCATGGTGATGAGGCTCCCACAGCCAAAGAAAAATCCAGCCCATCCATACCAACGGCAGCCAATCCAGCCGAACACCCAGCGGTGACAGAAGCAAGAAATGATGGTGAATGGCTTGCCTACAACTGAAGCACCAAGCAGGCTGTCAAGGGAAGTTCCTTGTAGTTATTTTCCTACCTCCTCAAATCACATGGCCCCACTTCACTGAAGCACAGGTGCAAATGTAAACACACACTCGTGCCACACACATGCTTCATTATGCAGAACTTCTAGATTAATAAAATACTGGCTGCCCAGAGAGGTTTTCCAATATCCCAATAGCCAAACATAGTGAAAGAATACAGAAGGAATTTTCTAAAGTAATTCTGACTACAAAGAACTGTCTCAAAGATACTCAGCTTTAGGAAATACAGAGATGTGATGTCAGTGGCAAGTGCCAGCCATCTGGTCATTTTTAATATTTTGCTGAATTGGCTCATTTGAAAACCAAGGGGAAAGGGCCATAGATTCACAGTGAAATATACAAAAGAAAATGTTCTCTTCGAGGACAAATTTGCTATACTGATTTCCCCTCAAGACTTCATTACTTTTCTTCCCTCCAAAGTTAGACATCCAAGCTGGAGTGATCAAGATGCAGTCATAGGAACAAGGTTTTATACAATACACTTTGCCACTCATTCAGCCACGGCCAACTCTGTAGAGATGGAGGCTCAACAAAACAGTGAGCCCATGAGATGGGATCCAAACCCAATACTGATATACTTACATAATCAAGTAATACTGGACAAGGCTACCTATTAAACATACTTCTTGGCAGTCAAAATTCAAGGCTTTGAGAAATTTTTAAATTTGCAAAAATCTGAAAAGTAACTAACATTGTGTGCCATAGCATTTCCAAATGTGTTCACTCAGAAACATATTTATTTTATATTAATTATTCCCTAGGAAATACTACTCCACAAATTACAAATTATGCTGTCATTTAACCAGGAAGAATTCCTTAAAATAATGCATCAGGTCTGGACTAAGGAATAATTTGATGCAAGGAATCTTTAACTTAAGTGTATGCCACATAGACATCCAATCAGAATAGCTGATTCCATCTGTTATTTAAAGAACTGATGATAGGATATTATATAGACTTGTGATTTTCTAATAATGATGATTTATTTCTTTTTGCTTAGTTTATTACAATGTCAAGGATTTCTGGTACAATGTTGAATAGAAGTAATGATAGTAGGTGTCCATGTATTGTGATGAATTTTGAAAGAAATCTTTCTAATGTTACATCATTGAGTGTGACATTTGTCCTAGCTTGTATCAGCCAAGGATCTCTGTTCTCATTCTGGTTTGTTAAGAATTTTTTTTAACCAGAAATAGATGTTATGTTTTTATTAAATGATCTTTCTTCATTTTATGAGGTGACCGTAAGTTTTTTGTTCTCATTTAATCTGTTAATGCAGTCTATTAATAGATACATAATGTTGACACAAATTTACATTCTTGGGACAAATGCCACTTTTAAATTTTTTTTTAATTTTTTTTAGTTGTTGATGGACCTTTGTTTTATTCATTTATATGCAGGGCTGAGAATCGAACCCAGTGCCTTGCATATGCTAGGCAAGCACTCTGCTACTGAGCCATAACCCCAGCCCCAAATGCCATTTTTTTAAAATATAAAACTTTGTGTACACAAAGTTGTCTGCCAATGGAGGAAGGAAGAGATGAAGAAAGGGAGAATGAAGAAAAAGAAAAAGAAAATATATATATATATATATATATATATATATATATATATATATATATATATATATTTTTTTTTAAAAGGAAGCAAGATAGTGATTTTCATCCACCTCCATCTCTTCCACCTAGAGGGCATCATGAGTGTGTTGGACTTGAAAAAGGGAAGTTGGTTCCTAACACCCAGAGGCAAGTTAAGCCCTTAAGGGAAGGGAAAGCAAGAGGTTTCCTACCAGACAAAGCCCTGTTCAGAGAAAGGATGGGTTCTTAGGCTGTAACTTCAGAAGGGAAGGTTGAATTGATGCTGAAGAATAAATTATAAAGTACACCAGAAGCAGAAAGTATGAATTCCATGCACATTGTAAGAATAGTGTAAATAATTTTCTAAAAAAAATGAACTTGTCCTTTTATTTTTGCTTATATTATTTCCTTGTGCTTATTATCAATGAATAGAACATACTTCATTCAGTCATAGTATTTAATCTTTAGCCTCCTCCAAAAGACTCTGCTGGGGAAGCTCTTCACATTCTGTATCTGATCTACATATGAAAAGAAAACTGAGTGATATGCACAGCCTGCAGGTGCTAGCACACAAACCACCCCTCAGACCCCCTTCTTGGTGTAGAAAGGTATGCCAGAGTTCCTGTTAGTTCAGTCAATTGTCAAGTGTTTACTCAGCCTTCTGTAAACTAGACAGGTCTTCTCTAGGTGTCTAGACAGCACCACCATCCCACTTACTAGACTGGGCACCCTTCCACAAAAGCCTTTTAATCCTAGTTAATCTAACCCCATGGCCAGTGAAGAATCACATTGTAAAAAAGCTATTCTTTTCTTCAACAAATAATCACACAGCACCTACTATGTAACAAGCACAAAGCAAGATGCTAGAGGGCCAGGTGGAGATCATGACTGACAAATTGATTTTCTAATTGGGAGAGCAACTGAAAAACCAAATTTGTTTTACGTGATTTGGTATGATGGAATGATAAGTGGTTATTAGTGATGTGAAGATAAATAGAATAAGGAGAGAGACAGAAAGATGCCTAAATCATTGGGAGAGAATTTGAACAGATATGTAGAGGGAGAAGATTTCAGGCAGAAGAGAAAACAAACTCAAAGACTTGGGGGAGGGGAGCCAGCTGGGTGGGTGCCAGAGGCAGCAAAAGAAAAGTGAAAAAGATCCAGTGAAGTGTAATTAGCATCTGTTGTACCTATGGACCCCTATTAGTCCAAGTCTCAGGCTTCTTTCTGGAGTGGAGTTTTTGATGAGCTTCAGATAGGTTATCTAGAATGTTGATCTCTCCTCTAGGATACATCCCAAACTGACTGATGTTGGAAGCACTGGAGAAGGTGTTTTCTTTTGCTTCAAATGTCAGTGTCCTAGATGTTCTGATTTTATCTGGAGTGATCCCAGACATCACCATACTTTTAACTCCCCAGGTTAATTTAATATATATTCACAACTGAAAGACATTGGAACTTAGACAACACATGTTAGTTGCATAGATGCAATACATCTGGTCTTTAGGCTATGCCTCTGCAAGGTGCTTATAATGGAATACAGCAGGAAAAAAAAACAGACAAAAAATTAAGATTTATTGGAAAAGCAAACATACTATAAATGTTCAGAATAATCTAGGTTAATCAGGGAAAGCTGTCACGTGAAAGAAAGTGCTTTCTGATGAATTACTCCAAAGACATGAAGAGTAATGGAGTGATTTGTGCAATTTTAGAGCAGACTTGCTTGGCTGGAAGCATTTTTGGTGTATCAGACCAATTAAGGACATTTTTATTCAAACCTAGTCTAATTCAGCCTTAAGCATGAGTCTGCTTTTATTCACTGGTGAAGGATGTAGTTGAAATGACAGATTTCATTCAGGCATTTTGTGTTCAGTACCAGGGAGAAAACCTTCTGAGACCAGCTGGCTGACCTGGCTGGGAAGCTACCATTCCTGTTGTGGCACCGCCATCGTGTGGCAAGAGTCAAAATGGCAGCCATTGTGCAGCCTCGCAAATTCCCAGGGGGCGGTTCATCCTATTTTCACAGAAAGGAGGGACCCGGCACATAATGTATCTCTTAATGTACACGTTCATTTACTATAAGAGCTCATGTTACTCCAGCCTGTCCTTAATATGTAAAACCTTCCCAAATAACCAAAACCAAAAAACTCCCAATAAGAAAGGACCATATCTACTGCTATGTGATAGTGATTCAACAGGTAAAGTCTTATTATTGAGTCTTGCTTTTAGAAACTGGTAGCAGCAGAAAAGAAACACACACACACACACACACACACACACTTTTGAAGAAAGAAACATTATCAGAAAACATTTTAAAAGAAAACTGATGATGAAAAACTGCTAAAAGGTTTCTAGAGAGAAGAAGGAACCAAAGGAGTGGGGTTCAAATGCTATTTCCCCAACTCTAACAAGCTAAGACACAAAACTCAATAGCAGATATTGGGATTCAAGGAAATATTATTGTACAAATAGAATTTTATAGAAGTAAGCAACAAGATGTGACTTATCCAAAGTCATTCATATTTTTAAAACCCTTATGGTTAAAGAAAAATTTTATTCCAACTCCTCCTTTTGGGGAATATCAAAGAATAAAAAAAAATAGGATAGAAAACATGGTTCTCAATTTTGTCCATGTGTTAACTTCCCTGGAGATTGTAATTTTAAACATCCAAATGCCAAGGAAATATTCTCAATCACTTAAATTATAATTTCTGTTATGGAATCTATCCATGAGTTGCTTTTTTTTTTAAGTTCCCCTAAGTGATGTTTTTATGCAGCCAACATTGAGAATCATGGAACCAGAAGCTTCCTGTACTTGCAATCAGTACCAAAGTCACAATTAAATATACCATCAGCAGGGCAGCTCTTTCTATAATCACCTCTCATTTACCCTTCAAGATCCCTCCCCTTCAGTGTTCATTTTATCCAAACTTCCATAAGTTTGAATAAGGGTGAGAGGAGTGTAATGGGCCCCAAACAGTGACCTGAAGTCTGCCCATCAGTTTCTGAATTCTGAATAAACCCAGTACACCTTGAGACTAAGGTAGAGTGTGCTATTGCAAATTGAACCCTCAGCATCTAAAATGCCTGGCACATAGAAAATACCCAATAAATTATTTCCCTAGCCAGATAACATACCACTGACAATCCCGAGTACTATGACTCTGATTTGCAAATGGAAAGCAAAAGTAGGTCCTGGTGAAGAGTAATCTCTCCGTCAATGAGTGTTCAGGATGGGGACTAGTTTAAACCCACAATGAGGAAATTATATGATTGTGTTACCTGAAATCCCCAGGTCACAGACTGCTAGGTTGATAGTCATTATTTCAGCAGGTCTCAGCTTCTTCTTTCGTCTAGAAGACATATAAAGGACATACCCATTTCCAAATGTGGACAGAATCCCTACAAAGAAAAATAAAAAATCCCATCGTTAAAACTAATATTTAGAGTTCACTTGGATATGAAACACTTCTCAATTTCAAAAATGGACACCACAGATTTAGAGGGTAATGAGAGGACTCTAAACAAAAAAATCTAAATTAAGAAGATGAAATAAAAAAGCATGAGTTGTGAGTAACAGGCATGGGATGGGTTGCCTCCTAAGGGAAAGGAGGCAGGGATTATAAGACTGAACTTACCCAGAACAAGGAACGGCTAACTTCCCAGGTAGGCTCAGGAGGGTGTGGGAATCCCAATGGTCAGTTCTTGTACTGGCCCCCAGGGTGGAGTATTTTCCTCAGCCATTTTACAGATTATTGGCTTTATAAAGCCTCGCCCCCTAGCAAGTGGGATCAACCCCTTGGCCTTTGATAAATTCTGAAGATGAAGTCAACCATTGGAGATGACTTCAGTGTCACTGCAGGCTCCTGAGGGAGCGCCAGCATGCAGGAGAGGCAGGGACTAGAGAAGTCTAGCATGACCCCCTGCAAGCAAAGGGTCATTTTCTGGAGAAAGATCCCAGGACAGACTCCTGGGGAGACTAGGACGGTGAGTGTCTGGCAGACAGGACAGCCTTCAGCTGCTCCTGGACTAGGTATCAAGGGTCAGTGGGTGACAAATGATAACATGGGCACTCCCCTCCCACCAAGGGGAGAGACAGTGACCCTCAACCCACCAAACCTACCAACAATGGCAGAAATGTGTACCCGTTTTTTATATCCTTTTATTAATGACTAATTGACTTTCACATTACAATGAAACTGTTCAAAAAGTTCTTACAAACCCAGTTTAAATCCAAAAAGACCCAATCCCTACTGACTTTAAGAAAAGAATACACCTACTTCCATAGCTTAACATGTAGAGTAGATTTCCTCAGGAATTCTTGCTTCATAGTGTAGCTGTGTATAAATGAGAATCTGGTACAGCTGCCTTTAGTAGTAAGGAATAAGGAGAGTATTAACAGGAGAAACCCAGATTTTTCTATTTTAATTTCTATTTTAATTTCTCCACCACAATTCATTTGTGGGGGCAAGGAAATAAATGTGTGTCTCTGCTGATGGTATGAAACCACCAGGAACTGACTGCATTCTGCTCTTAGATTTCTGACTCTCTGGAGTCAGTGCTGCTTCATGATTTATTGAGACCTCTTAAGCTCTCTTATAGCAGAAGAGGAGAAAAATAGAAGAGATGATGGAGACCTAGAGCAAACCAACTAAAATGATACTCCTGTCTCATTAAAGGAAACCATTTAGCAAGGAACACTGGGAAAGCAAAGTGTAAAAATACAGCCTGAATAATTATCAAGCTAATTCCAGCTCTGTTGTATCGAAAATGAGATTTAAAATCTTAAGTGTGTATATGCATTCCATACGCAAGGCTCATTGGAACACCCTTTGTCATCTAGACCTTGTTGGAGAATATTTTTCTTTTCTTAAATTTTCTTTACCAACCCTATTTCATAGGGTTTTACCCAGTGCCCAAAGCATCACCAGAAATAATCAATTCTCTCTTAGATACATGTAATTATTTCCACAGGCAATCTTATCTGCAGATGAGTGTTAAGAAAAAGCAAATGTATTTTTAATACTAATCAAAGGAAAACAAGTTTTTGAAGAACCATGGAGTGGACATTTTAAAACTATCAAAATCCTTGATATTTTATGAATTTTTAAAAATTTCTTAGATAGCCAGTTAATAAACTAGGCATTTACATAAAAAGTGGAGAGTGGAAAATGGGTCTTTATTTCTCCTGCATTCCAAACTCAAATTTATATTTTGTTTCATTGGCTCCCCTAAGACTCCTAGTATTGAACAAAGATCACTAAGAATCTTATTCATTTCACCCTGGCTCTTTGAGAGGAATCTGGACACATCCACATAACCTCTCCTAAGAGAAGGTGACAACAGGGGCCGAGCCCAAGACCTGGGTCTAGAATGAATCCAAACCCCTCCAGATGGCCCTTGCCTCACCTCAGTGACTCTTGTGTGACACATTTGTCTGCACTCCTTTCGCTGGGAACTCTTTTTGGACCTGATTTTCTATCTCCATCCCAACTTTTCTTGTTTGATATGGTCCTGACTTCCCTTCTAACCTCACATGCAGCAAGTGGAACACTCTCCTCATTTTCTCTGGTACTCACCCTGGTTGCCTCTCTCTCTGCAATCCTTCATTCTAAGAGTAGAATAGACTAATATTCCTCTCTACACTGTATTGTCCACAGAGATTGCACCTTTTCATTCATTCCTTGCAATCAATTGGAATAAATTGAATGCAATTTCCGGGACACTTACTTGTCTGCCTTTTGAAGTCATTGAAAATGTACATTTAATAGAAATGTGATGTGAATTTTACTACAAAATAATCTTTGTTGCAGCAGAGTGTTCAGAATTTTATTCACTGATCTCTACCCATCAACTTCAGAGAAGCAAAGTGTGGGTGCTCAGTCTATATTTGTGTTTGAAAGGACATGGGATTGCACTTGGAAGAAATAGAATTTGAGTAAAAGACTAACAAGCAATGAAAACAAGAACCCAGGGAATCACTTTGATGTATAATTTCTGATCCAATCTCATAGATTCCTTTTGCCTCAAGCACTGACCATAGAGGGATCTTGAGAAATTTCTAATGAGTTTTCTAATTTTAGGAATTAAATGAAATTCTTTGCCAGGAATAAATAGATGAGAGAAGAAAAGGAAGAGAAAAGGAAAGGGAGGGAGGGAACAAAGAAGGGAGGAACAGAGGGAGGGAGAGAGAAAGAAACAAAGTAGAAGAGAGAGGAGAATAAGCAGGCTTGACCCAACATCTGAAAAGATTAAAGGCAGATAAACCTAGAGACGTAACCCACCTGCACACTGGTCACCCAAATTTAAGATGTCCATTTTAAATTTAAGAATAGTATTGTGGTTAAATCCTAATTGTCTACATTAGTGCAGTCCAATAGAAATATAATGTAAACCAGAAATGTGAGACACATATGTATTCTAAATTTTTACCTTAAGCAAAGTAAAAAATATAGAGATAAATTGAATTTAATACCCTAATATTTAAGTTACTCTGATCTATCCAAGATACTGTGGTTTCAATATGAATTCAATTTTTCAAAATTGTCAATGACATATTTTTACACAATTCTTTCTGGTACTAAGACTTCAGTATGTGGTATATGTCTATACTACAGTATGACTCATTTGGAAGTCAACAGTTCATGTGCTCAGGAGCCATATATGGCCACTGCTTTGGATAGTATAGAAGCAGATGTACCCCTGTGTGGATTGTGCACACAAAATTTTTGATCAAGGCTGACTTCCATTTATCACCAGCACATTTTCTCAACGCTCATCATAGTGACTTAACTATTCTGATGTGATGGGACTTTACATTTAGATAAAGTAAATGCAATATGTCTATTGTCACTATATTTCCCTGGTCCAAATTTTCCTGGATTGTAAGAAGAGGAAGCTGAACTAGATGATTTCTAAGGTTCATTCTTAGTCTAAAATTTTCTAATTATATCAAAAGTATCTTTTAGAAAGTTAAAGAAAATCTTTAAATAATAGAATATCATCTCTTTTTTATTATTCAGAAGATAAACTTACTAGCAAAGAAACCAAAATGAAATACTGTCTCAAGATAAACAATTTTTTCTATAAAATTATTTGCATTATCACTGAAACATTTATCCCTAATACTGTCAGTAATTGTCATTTCTATGAAACATTTATTGCATGCCACAATGCCACCCCGCCTTCCCATTCTTTAACTCCACTAAAATACCCAGATAAATGTTGAAATCATTTTTGCAAAATCCACATATCAGCCTGTGAATTTTTAAAAACAGTCTTTGCATAGAAGAATTAAGAATGCTTACCAATTATTGTCAGGTAAAAGCCAGCCACTAAATCCACTTCCCAGGAAAGTTTGGAAGCAAAGGGATCCTCATCCCGAAGGTAGTGTGGCAGGTGCTCATCCTGGGGCAGGGCAGTGTGGTTTAATGCCATGCTGTTCTCAAGCCACCAGGGATCTGAAAAGCAATTTGGTAGAGATCTCAACAGACCTGAATAAGTCAACTTGAATCATCTCAGGATCTTGCTTCCTGTTTGAAAACAAAAAGCATGTTTCCAGCATCATACATGATACTGTAGTAAATACCTTGTGAAATGGTTAGCATTTTTCTTCAATGATCTCAATATGTCAGTGCTTAGTTATTCAGTTAGCAGCTTCCTCATGCTACCCTCTGAGCCATTTCACCTCTCCCTGAGGTTTATAATAGGTTGAAATCCAAACAACTGGTGTATTGGTTCTCAGACATTTTTGCAAAGGTCTGAATTATGAAAAGAGATTGTATAGAGTGTGGAGGTGACAGGTACTTTTTAGTTTGTCATAATATAATAATTTTTAATTATTCAAATTGCCCAGAAAAGCTTTGCCATTCACTATGTGTTCAGAGATCTTTAGACTTTTGCCACAGAAAGAAATAAAGCATTGAGTACAAATGAACATGGATGCTTTATTGCATTGAGAGCTGGGAGACTGTGCCGAATGGCCTAGAGTTGGGGGGCATGTAACAAATAATTCAATCTTGATTGTAATACACACGTATTACAATCCATTGGAAGTTTTGATTCTAGAGTTTCCTAACAAAAAGCAACTTAATTATTTCTCACAATCACATCTTCAAATCCAAGATAAAAATCTTGAGTTATAAGGAACTCCCAAAACAGTTCTTTGTACTATTTCTTTTGAAATTTGATTTTTTTTACAAAGTCTTTGATACAAACTTTGCAAGAATAAAAGTCACATGGTATTCCTCATAATGAAAACCTAGACTGGTGTGTTGTTCCTGAGATAAAACATGCTGCTGATGTCATCACTTCCTTCAGGACAATTGTTATTTGATTTGAAAGAAGTACTAATGCTGATATTTCAACCACTTTTGAACTTGCTTGTTTCCAACTGAACCAGTAGATGTCACTGTTCAGCCCTCTGGGAAGTGATTTGGAACAAAATAGATCAGCCAGCATGTAAAACAGTGTCCCTCACAGCTGGTGACAGAGTAATCAGCACATACCAAAGGATGCAATTCAGCCTCTCCATAGAGACAGATTTCAGCCCTTTCTAGCTGCCAGTTTACAAACAAGACTTTTAAACAGATAGAGGCCAGTTGACTAAAGCTGCTGTCTGCTTCCACGCACAGTCCAAGGACAGTCACATGGGTAATGTGCCTTCACACTCCTTCTCCCGGGAGCTATAGAAAACCACAGGAGAAGTCGATGACTGCCAACCCCACACCATCAGGCCTGTCCCAAGTCCAAGTTTATCTTTATATTTCAAGATCTGATTTCTCTCCTGGTAAATTCACTCATCACAGATTCTCACAATTCAATCCTGTCCTCCACTTTAGATTTGGAATCATAAGATGAGGGTCTGAATCAGCTTTGACATTCACCCTCTGATCTTGAATAGATTAAACTCTCTGATCTACAACTATTTCTGTAAAATGAGTACTTCTTATCATTCTTACCCATTGCTCACACTTCCTATAGAACGACAGGATAACAAATGTGAAAGCACATTGCAAATTAGGGTACCAGGAGTCCTGAACAGTTTTTATACACTGGGAGACTTACTTTTCCCAAACTTCTCATCCATCAGGACATAGTTATTATAAGACAGATTTGTTTTTCAGGGTCCTATGCTGAATGAATGTACGTATGTGTATTAACTCAAGTTTTTCCTGAATATCTACACAGGATATGAGACAGAGAGAGAGAGGGGTTTACCTTGTCACCTAGACTTAAGGAACATAATTATCACTCTGGACAGACAAAAGACACAACTAATGGTCAGGAAAAAAATAGCAATAGCATAAGAATATAAACAATGAAATGTTACCTTATTTAGTTTTAGATAATAATTTTCTTAATCGAGGAAATAATTGTTATCTGAGAAATTAATGTGTATGTAGTTGTGTGTGCACAATCTCAGGAATGATCCTTCTTATAGCTGGAGGTCCCCAGGGCCTTTCACAGCCTAAAGCCCAATATGTTGATATTGATAATGGTGATATAAAATTTCAGGTGTACCCCAAAAGGCTTTAATAGGCTATGGGAACTGTGGGATAAGGGAAGACTGGCTCCACAGAGGTAGAGTCCACAAAGGTGCAGGACGACCTCCACCTTGGATTGGCAAATGAGATCTTGCTCTGTAGAGCCTCAGATACCTGGCAGAATAGTTGTTTTGACATAAGTTATGTGGACTTGGTTTTTCTAGATGCATAGGATAAATTTGTGCTGTTTTCAAGTTTGTCAATAAAAGATTTCAGTTCTTTTCTAAAAGACAAATGAAATACTTCCCTGAGAACAAGTAAAAGATATAGAGAACCTTAAATATATGGCTATTTGGGAACTTGTGCCTCTTCCTTCTTCAAGTTCATTCTCAACTCCTGCCATTGCACATGTTTTCCCCTACATGAATTCACTTAGTTCTTCCTCTTATTTACCTCTACATGCCTGGGAAAACTTTCAATACACAAATAAAGATGTTAAGAGTAAGGAGTAAGCACAGGATTGTTATCTTTTTTTTTTTTTTTTTTTTTTTGCTGTGGGGCTATTTCTCCACCAATGCAGACTTAGACTTTTTGTTAAAAGCAGGCTGTAACAATGTTAATATAATACATCCTTCTGCACAACACCCCTAACTGTACTATTTAATAAATGCAATATACAATTATGAATACATTCATTCAGAGATCTGTTTTAGGGAATTCCTTTCTCCATATTGAATGGGTCTGAGCTGCCTCATTGTGTAGATAAATTAAGGTCACTTAGTTGTTTCCTTCCCTCTTTTCCCTCCTGTGTTTGAAGACTGCCTATAAGCCATTGTGTCCCACTCTGTTTTCCCAGGGGTGAAGGACAATCATAGCCACACACCCCAGTTCCCTGGGATGGCATCCCATGACCACAGCCAATGGTTCTCAGCCAGTGGCACATCTGAATCATGTATACCTTTATTTTTGCTTTGTTGTATATTATTATTGTTGTTGTTTTGTGTTCTTTAAATATCATGATGTGGGCCCAATTTCCAGAAACTGTGACATCTAAAAACATCATTTCCAAGAGGATCTGACAGTGTTCACAATTCGCCAAATTTTGCAACCATGAAAGCTTTCTTTAAAACAACAGAAAATGTTCTTTTTAGTTATACATGACAATAGAGTCTATTTTGACATATTTATACAAAAGTGGAGAACTTCCTTTTCTTGCACAATATTTCGTAAGAATAGTGCTTGGAAAGACTGTTTATGTGGGGAAATGCTGTGTTAGTAAGATTGTGCTAAAGAATAAAGAATTAAAAGAATACATTCTTGATTTGGAATTCTAAAAGCACATTGCATTTAGAGTAACTTTAAATTGGAAGAAGGGAGTTTGGGGTTGCTGTTGAAATACTGCACAACACCAAAAGTGCTTTCTTGAAAACCCAGATATTTCAGGGAAGGTATAAGGGATTTGAGGGGAAAGTATTCTTTCTGAAAAAGGAGAATAAAATAAATAACTTCACAAGATTACCTCTGAAATTATGATCCATGCAAAGTTACAAATTAAACATATTGGTGCAAATTATAAGTGATCATTCATGTTAGCATTATCCTTTCAGCAATAAAATAAATTCCCCTGCTCTCATTCCACTAATCAATGGTCCTTTGACTGTGAATAAAGTCTCCTGAAACTGGTCTCATAACAGTTTATTACAGAAAAGCTAAAAACATTCCCAGTTGTCATCATACATAAAAGTTTTAAATGAGTTACAAGAATTAACCTTAAAAATTCCACATTTAAATATTAAAGGATAACTTGAGGCACCATCAGACCCATATTCTCATATCCAATCTGAAAGGACTACACAACTGCTCTGTCACAGATACAAGAAACAGAATGGCAAAGGGTCACCTCCAAGGAGAAAATAAACATAAGTTAATGTCAAGGGAAAGAGTTCAATTCTGTTCAACTTTATCAAATCATAAAAAATATTAAGCAATGAATTTTTCCTTTGACCCACTAAATTTTCTCTGATATAAAACAGGAAATAGCAAAAAGCGTGGCACCATGGATAAACACTTGTGTAGTATGACCAAAAGTGTCCTGCTCCAAGTGGTCTTCCTCCTTGGCCTGTTACCAGTTTTGTTTTAAAGCGTTGTCACTACAAAATTTCCTTCTAAGGATGAATTTTCTGAGAACATAAAACTTGAATTCATTAGCATCAATGAAAACTTTAACATAAGGAGTTTGGAGTTTATGAAAAGTTACTACTTGGTACCTCACAGAAGGCAGCCAGCCTGAAAATAGGTGTGACACAGGTTATGCCTACCAGGGCACAGAGGAAGAGCTGGAAACATGGTAGTCCACAGATATCTCTGAAACAACATGAAGGTCACAAAACAACAAAGACACACTCTAGAGTTAGGGAAAGTGTGTCAAATAAAGATAGGTAACCACAGTTGAAATATTCAAGCTCTAGGGATATTTCATCCCTAGTACTTAGTGCTAAGCCTGTTAAATGCAAGCAAGAAAACTGTTTATTAGGAATTTGGAGGTGGTAAAGCTAGTCTACCTAGGCCTTTGTCTATTGGTGATTGCCCGTTTTTACTACTGTCCTGAGGGATTACTCACAATAAACCAACAACAACAAACAAAGGATTTGTGGTCAGATGTATTTTCACATAAACTCCAGAAATTGGTGCCACAACTGAGGCTAGTTAGGAACTAAGAACCTGAGCATAAACTTTCTTTCACCCCAACCCTATGGAGTCAGCCCTGGTACAGGTCCTGGTAACATACAAGAAGGGCCTTTTGAAAGAATGGGAAGGGCAGCTTTTCTCTGGCTCCTTTAGTCTCTCCCCTTCCACTTCTAGCTTTTTCTTTCCCATCTGAGCCCCAAAGTGGTTCCATGCATTTCCTCTTTCCTACAAATTGTTCTCTTAAAAAGTGAGTTGATAAATTTT